CTTCTGTTGATAAAGGGCGCAGCCATCTTGGATTCTGAACTCGGGATCCTCTGTGCTGTTCCGATATTTCTCGGATCTCCGAGAAACGGGAGCGCACATGTCGTCACTTCCAGCTTCAAAACTCCGGAACACATCTCGGAATACGAGTTCCGAGGGCAAATGGAACGCACCAAAACTGCCCGAAAATGGGTTGACAGAGAGATTTCAGGGATTTTGAGTCATTCTGCGCTGCGGATGGGTTAATTGCTTTAAAAAAAATTTTAATCAGATTAATAATGATGATGGATTAATCCGCGTTAACCCGTTAATTTTGACAGCCCTAATATATATATATATATATATATATATAATAAAATATGAAAAACTTGTTTTCATATATATATAATTTCTCTATTTATGGGGTGCGTGGGGATCATGGGGTGGAAAATGTGGATGTTGCACGCCTCATGTTTACTGTCCGTGGCACTGGAAGGGGCAGCTTTATATCAGGGAAGAGTGTTCACAACCAAAGGTTTGTTAGACGATGCATATTGCTATTTGCTCCCTCTGTTGCCATAAAGTGGCAGCCTGTTATGCATCCAAGAGTTAAGCAGGATAGCTGTTATTTGGAATAATTCTTTTTTCATTATGCTACAATACTATAGGGTGTAATGACAAACAGTTCTACAAGTACTGTCTAATTTTAAAGATTGGGTTATGTAATTAAAGAAAATTTCAAGGGTTTTTGTAAATCACCTTATTTAGCATGTTTTAATTTGTATGTAAGATACTGAAAGCTCTACAAGATGGACATATGAAACCAGAGATCATCAGTACACTTGCGCTTGAGTGTGAATGCTGGCTTATGCCTGCATTCACCCACACATGAACAGTGTCTTGCTTGAGGACACCTATTGTAAGTGGTAACAGTGTGGCAGTGCCAAGTGCTGGATTTTCACCTCCCAGTTCTGACATTATGCTGCCAGTCTGAGGATCAAACCATGGACCCTTCAATCACAAGCCTGCTTCTTATACAATTAGACTACCACTGATAATTTGGACTGATGAAACTTTTCGTTTAAATGTGCATTTCATGTTTTACCTACTGCAGTTTCCAGGCTAGTAACTTGATAGTTGTAATTTTGTACTTTTCCAGGATTGAGAGGCTGTGGCAAGACCTATGGGTGGCTGTAACAAACATCTACTATGATATACTTCATTAACTTGAAGAAGAGGGATTCCTCAGCATTACCAGTGTTACACAACTCTTCTGTTGTCATTATGTATTCCTGCCACGCCTGCAGGATGACCTGGATACATTTCGCACTGGTTGGGACAATCATCAGTTAAGAACATAAGAACATAAGAAATTTACAAACGAGAGGAGGCCATTCGGCCCATCAAGCTCGTTTGGGGAGAACTTAGCTAATACCTCAGAGTTGTTAAAATCTTATCCAGCTCTGATTTAAAGGAACCCATGGTTTTAGCTTCCACTACAATAGCAGGAAGACTATTCCATACTCTGACTACACGCTGTGTAAAGAAGTGCTTCCTCAAATTTGTTTTAAAATGTTCTCCCGCTAAGAATACAGGGTTTAATTACAGGTAAGGCAGGC